CTGTAGGTTCCGCCTCCGGCTCCTTCCTCGCCCGCTTCTCCCGCGAGATTTGTCCTATGCCGGCGCGACCGCGGCTTTCAACTTGCCTTCACCCTTAGACTAGCACCTGCGGTCACGGGGATGCAGCGGAAAGCGGTTCATTTTGCATTCCGGAGAACACAAAAGCGCTGTGAAAGAGGAGTGTGGAGTGACTTAGAAAAGTGGAAAAGCCGTTTTGGTTTAAGTTCTATTTTTTTTTTTCTCTTTTTGGGTCACACCCGGCGATGCACAGGGGTTACTCCTGGCTTGCACTCATGGCTCTGCACTCAGGAGTCACTCCTGGCGGTGCTCAGGGGACCATATGGGATGCTGTGAATCGAACCCGGATCGACCGCGTGCAAGGCAAACGCCCTATTTGCTATTTGCTGGAGCAATTTGCTATTGCTCCAGCCCCCTCGGTTTAAGCTCTAGAACCTTGCTAAAAGGTAGAGTGTGCAGTCAGAAAGAGGGAGCCTGTTAGGCAGAATCTCAGGTACCAGGCTACTGAATGGGACTGAATTGGAAGTAAATGCTAATGCTTTTGTACCCGTTTTACGGGGAGTAACACCGCTCTTGAAACATTTTTCAAAGTTCAGAGAACAGATTTTCCTCTACTCGTACAAAACTATTCTCACATCAATGGAAAAAAAAAAACCCAGTGATTTTGAAAGATGTATGGAGTATAAATTTTAATAATTTTCTGGTAAAGTAGCGCAGGGATTAAGGAGCTTGCTTTGCAAGTAGCCAGCCCGGATTAGGTCCTTAACACAGCATATGGTTCCCCAAGCACTGCCAGGAGTAATCCGGAGCACAGAGTCAGGAGTAACCCTGAGCATCACCAGGTAAAGCACAATCCGCTCTCCCTAAAAATTTTCTTTCTTTTTTTTTGTATTTTTTGGGTCTCATCCAGCGATGCCCAGGGGTTACTTCTGGCTCTGCACTCAAGAATTACTCCCGGCGCTACTCGGGGGGACCGTATGGGATGCCAGGAATCTAATGGGGTTGGCCACATGCAAGGCAAACACCCTACTTTCTGCACTATTGCTCTGCCCCCGCCACCCCCCATCCCCCAATAATTCTCAAGTTTAGAAGAATATATACTAAAATGTCAAACAAAGTTATATCAAGGGGCTTGAAAGATAGCTCAGTTGTTAGGAAGGCATGCTTGCAAAAGTCTAGATTCTACCCACATACCACATGGTTGGATTCCACAAACAACTATATATATAATTTATGTATCAATGTATCACTGTCATCCCATTATTCATCAATTTGTTCGAGCGGGCACCAGTGAGGTCTGCATTCGTCCTAGCCCTGAGATTTTAGCAGCTTCTCCTTACTCGTCCTTCCAAACGGTGTCACATTGGTGGCTTTTTCAGAGCCAGGGGAATGAGACACATCATTGTTACTGTTTTTGGCATACGCCACAGGGAGCTTGCCAGGCTCTGCCATGTGGGCAGGATACTCTTAGTAGCTTTCCGGGTTCTCCAAGGAGAACTAGACTATATACTGGTACTCCGGTATTCCTGTAGCACTGTCCTCCCGTTGTTCATCGATTTGGTCGAGTGGGCCAGTAATATCTCCATTGTGAGACTTGTTGTTACTGTGTTTGGCATATCAAATATGTCATGGATAGCTTACCAGGCTCTGCCGTGCGGTGAGATACTCTTGGTAGCTTGCCGGGCTTTCCGATGGGGGCGGAGGAATCGAACCCAGGTTGGCCGACCCGGCCGCGTTCAAGGCAAACACCCTACCCGCCTTGCTATCGCTCCATGTAATATATAACCATGATTATATATACTCATAAATTATAGGTTTCAAAATTTTGAAAAATGTTTAAAACCTGGAATTTGTTTACTTTTTATTTCTTTATTCCTTGTTTCTGCTTTGTTCTGAGAGAGACACACTTACCTGTTCACAGGGCCTATCTTGCTCTGTGCCCTGGAATGACCCCTGTAACTGAGGGGACCTATATGTGGTGGTGTTCGGGATCAAACAGGGTGAATCCAACCAGGGTTGGCCCAGTGCAAAGGAAAGTGCCTTCTGCCGGTACTGTCGATGCAGCCCCATGCTCTTGTTTCTTCTTTTGAGGCCACAGCCAGCAGTGCCCAGTGCTAACTCCTGGCTTCTGACTCGTGCTCAGGGATCACTTCTGGTGATGCTTGGGGGACCCATAGGCTCTCAATTTGGGTCTGCAATGTGCAGGGAGGCGCAGTAACCCTTGTACTAATTCTCTGGTCCTGACCTCAGTGTTTTGCATGCACAAAGCCCAGTTTGATCCCTGGTATCACAGATATGCCAGCACAGCCCGAAGGACCAAGCCAGAGCACCAAGTGAGTGTGGCCCCAACCTAAAATAAATAGAAAGCACCAAACACACACCATATAAATTGAATTTCATAATTAGTGTTTAATAAGTATTTGGTTTTATTTATTTATTTATTTTTTGGAGACCACACAGGGCAGTGATCAGGGCTTACTCCTGGCCCTGCACTGGGGTTACTCCTGACAGTGCTCAGGGGAACCATATGTGATGCCAAGATCAAACACAAGTTGGCCACATTCAGGGCAAGACTTGCCCACTGTACTATCTCTCCTGCCCTGACTTCTTATTTGCAATCCTGAATAGTGACATTCCATTACATGTGAAAGCAGGTTACTTATCTGTAGGTGATTCTACCAAATCCTTGTCAAGAATGATCTCAGAGAGATAGTGCAGGGGTTACGGCACTTGCCTTGCACAGGATTCACGCAGCATCTCCAGGAGAGTTCTTAAGCAGGGAGCCTGGAGTAGCAACTGAGCACAACTGAATACACCAACCCTTCCCATCCCCCCAAAGGACCAAACTCATTTATGCATGATCTCACTTATAAAGCAGAACGCAAAAGCCAAATTCTTAGATATAGTGGACCCTGATTATTGTCAGAGTTGATTGGTGGGTGATGGACAGAATAGATGAAATAGTCAAAAGGCACATACTTCCAGTTTGCAAGAAAAATAAAATTTGGTAATATGCGGTATCATGAATTGAATGCAGGGCTCTTGAATGCAAAGCATGTGTTCAGCACATTGAGCTATTTCTCTACCCCCCAATAAAAAATTTTTCATTTTTATTAATTTATTTGGGGCAGCTTCCAAGCTGGCGGCCCCACCAGTAATTCTCTGCCAACTGGACCCACTGAACCGGCCAGGACCCAAGGATGCCTTGCTACTTGGGCTCTGTGTTGCTGGGGTTACCTTGGCCACCCCAGAGGTACTGGGGGGGTCTCCGTTTTTTTTTTTTAATTCTGGTCATACCTGGCAGTGCTTGAGGGTGACTCCTGGCTTTGTGCTCTGGAGACCTTGGTGGTTACATGAGTGTTTATGGTGTCAGTTATTTACATTTTATGCATTTTTGTTTTGGGGCCAGTCGTGCTCAGAGATTACTGCTGGCTCTGTGCTCATGGATCACTGGTAGAAATTTGGGGGACAATAAAGGGTGCTGGACATCAAACCCAAACCCAGATCAGCTACATGCAAGGCATGTGCCCTGCCCCCTCTACTGTTGTTCTGGTACCATTGTGCACTTCTTTGTGTATGTTCTATCTACCTCTCTGTATTTGGGCCACACCTTGCAGTGCTCAGGGGTACTCCTGGTGGTGCTTAGGGGACCATAAGTGATATTGCGGATTGAATCTGAGTCTCTCACATGCCAAGCATGTACGTATATGTTGAGCTATTTCTCCAGCCATATGTGGTATATTTTTAGTAAAACTGTTAAGAGAAAGGCCTAAAGTTTTTTCTCTTTATTTAAAAATATAACCAAAAGAAAAAAATATATATCCATACCAGATGTACTTTAGTTGTTTATAGTCTCTATTGCCATTCAGTTTCAAAATAAACAATGGAAACAATAGTTTAATGAAGCAATAGCATTTATAGGATTCTTAAGTGGATACAGTATAAAATATATCATAAAAATTAGTAAAAGATACAAAGTAAAACATTTTAATACTGGCACAATGACATTAGCAGCTTTACATATGTTAATCTATGGTTTTCTATAGGTATTTTTGCATGTGAAACTTTATCCCACAAGAATGATCAAATCATTTGAACTGTTACAGTACATAGTGGTTATTAACACAGAAACATTATAAGTGCCCCATAAAATATTGTTACGAATACTCAACTGCTTTATTCTTGGAGATCATCCCCTTTAGTCTTACATAATTAAAAATGTAACTACCAGTGTGTTTTTTAAAATATGGATCACATCCAACAGTGCTGGGCCAGGCTACTCGTGGTGATGTATGGTCTGGTGATGCAGGCCTTACTTTGTATTTGGCAATGTTGGGACCATCCATGCTTCTTATATGCAATGCTCAGCCCATTGAGGTGTCCTATGTCCCCTCAATAGTTCTCATTCCCAGGAATATCCAGGATGGGCATGGAGCCATAGTAAGTGGGTAGGGTGCTTGCCTTGCAAGCAGCCGACCCAGGTTTGATCCCTGGCATCCCAGACAGTCGCCTGAATACCACCAGGAGTGATTCCTGAGTTCAAAACCAGGAGTAACCCCTGAGCATCACTGGGTATGGCACAAAGACCATAAAGAATATCTAGGATGAATGAGAATAATTTGTTTTCCTAATGTTGTAACTGCACCTGACTGGAATGCATGCTTTATACACAGAGATATGAATTCGATCTCTAGTGTTACATGGTCTGCTGAACAATCTCAAGCAGCATACTGGGAGTAGCCCCTGGGTACTGAAGGGTGTGGCCCCACTCAAGACAAACAAACAAATATTACATTTAAATATGAACAATTTACATTGGATAATTCCAGGATTTCTTTTCCCATTCATTCTCTTATTCATCATAAAAATCATGAAATGTTCAAAATATCCAGTTTATACCAAATCTATATGGATTCCACACATTTTAATTATTTGAATGGAATAATACATTAGTATAGTACTAATACCCGACTGCATAAAAAAACAGGATTGGCATGAGCACATATGCATATTTTTACGGATCACCAGATGAAGTCAGGAAGCACTGGCATCAGTTTTGTTCATCAAAGCTGCTTGTAGAAAGTGGCACAGTTTGAACTGGACTTCTAGGGTGAGCTAGCTATGGAGAAAAAAGTCCCAATTATAATGTGGATTATGTTCCTGTGATTGACACAGATGTTCTTCTTTGTCATTAACAGAACTCAGATTTTGTACGGGGTACCCAGGGATCCAGATATTTTGCTTTATCCTGTGGTACCAAGGACTGAACCCAGGACCTCACACATTCAAGCCTTGTGCTTGACCACTGAGCCACATCCTCCAGATCCAAATTCTAGAAACACTTTCTTTACCTTCCTGAATATAGTCCGAAGTTACTGGCGAGCACCTTTTTAGAAAGATGAGGGACAGCTAATAAGCTTTTACCTGTCCTTTTGTCCTCTCCATAACTAGAATATGGGTGTGAAGCTTGAGAATGTATAGTCATTCTGAAACATGAGGATAAAAGCTATGTATCACTCATTCCATTTCTCTTTTCTCTTCCTTTTTTATTGAGGGGTGGGGAAGTAATCAAACTTGGTGTTGTCAGGGGCTGCTCCCTGCTCTGTGCTTGGAGATCAATCCTGGTGATGCTTGAGGAACCATTTTGTGCTGGGGTTCAAACCCTGACTTCTGGCATGTAAAGCTAACCTACTGAGCTATTTCTCTGGTCCTGAACTGCTAACTTCTCGAGATGATATGTAGGCAAGAAAGATAACCCCCTATGTAGTTAAACTATTACAGTCAAGGCTTCTCTTACCTGCGTCTAAGTGGAAAATGTAACAAATACAGATGTTTAAGAAATAAGGGAAGAAAAACGAAGGAAAGGGGAAATGTCATTCTATGTCAAACAAGTTTTTACAAAACACCCTCTTAACACATGAGCTTTTGAGATTATAGCACATAGCATAGGTCTTATCAGAACAAGACAGAGATGTTATAGTGATTTTTATTGTTGTTCAATGTGCAAGTTTGTCATTATATTTGTTGAGTACCCATATTAACCACCTGTAATATTCAACATAGCAGTTATCGGGTGAGGCAGAGATAAAAAGCTAAAAATTGAAAGGAAGGAACTTAAAGTCTTTCAATGAATGTAGCATCCACAGTTTGTGTTCTGAGGGTAGTTTTCTACTGGATGATTTGAAGGAAGGAAAGAAAAACCTCATGTACACCTTCACAGATGGCCAGAGTGCCTAGGAAGATCTAGTTGCTTAGCAATAAAAAAAAACAAGTTGTCTTGAAAAAGGCACAGCATGTTTTTTTTTTTTTTCCCATCCTAGAGACAGGATGGCAGAAATCCCACAAATCCAGTGGGCTGGAGAGGGTTTAAGGGTTAAGGTGCTTGCTTTACATGCAGCTAACTCAAATCCAATCTCCCACAGGTAATCCCCAGAGCACTGCCCTAGTGATCTGTGAGCAGTCAGATATGCCCTGAACAAAGGTGGATGTGGCCCAACCTTTGGCCCCCTCAAATAATCCAATGTTAGAAATCCATAGGAGGATGACTGAAATGAACAGGGGTTGGAAGAAATCATACCAGGAAGTGTTCACATGTCGTATTTTATTTTATTTTTTGGTTTTTGGACCATACCCAGCAGTGCTCAGGGTTTATTTACTCCTGGTTGTGCTCAGGGATCACTCCTGCATCCAGTGGTGCTCCAGGAAACATATGGGGGTGTTAGGCATCAAACCTAGGTTACCTGTGTGCAAGGCAAGCACCCTACCCACTGTATTATATCTCAGGTCTCATATGTTAGATTTTATTTTTATTTACTTATTTCTTAGTTTTTTTTGGTCTCTTTCAGTGGTGCTCAGGGTTTACTCCTGGCCCTTTGCTCAGGGATCACTCCTGGCAAACTCACTGGACCATCTGTGATGCTGGGGATCAAACCCAGGTTGGTCAAGTACAAAACAAGCACCCTACCCACTGTACTATGGCTCTGGCCACTATATTGGCTTTTAAAGGTGAGTCATAGATGTTTAGTATTTCAAAAAAAAGGATGGTGGTGTTGCTGGAAGATCTAGTGGGGGCAGTAGTTGATTCAGGTGCAGCTAGGGACTCTTTATGTTTGTTTTATTAAAGATAGTAGATTTCCAGGGTCAGTAAGATAGCTCAATAGGCTGAGTGGTGACCTCTGGCACTGAAAAAGAATGAAAAATGATTTGCTTCCCCCCCTTCCCTTCACTGTTATCCTTTTATGATGGCCAGGGGTTGTGTACTGTCCTGGGATGTTTTTAGCTTCGATACTTACTGGTGATCATTGCCCTTTTTGTGGACTTAAAAACACCTGGCTGTGGTATGTATGGGAATTGCTCATAGCACCCAGGACCAAAAACCACAGAGCCGTTAGGATGATACTTGGTGCAGGGGACACCAGAAACTTTAGATTCTATCTTGCAAGGCAGGCAAAGGTTTGATACCTGGCACTGAATGGTTCTTGCATATCAGCAGGCATGCCCCATCCCTCCCACCAAAAATAAAAGACTATTTTGTATAAAAGTTAATAATATATATATGCATATATATATATATTTTTTTTTTCCTTACCTCAAACTTTCTCTTTAAAGCCCGAGTCATTACTGGAGTCAGTCCAGTTCCTGTTTCCATATTTTCTTTATTGGTAAGCGGCGTTCCACCTGGGCTTCTGCAAGATATTGAGAATATTAGGAGCTGTGCCACCTAAAATAATATGCCAGTTTTTCAAGAGGATTTAGAAAGCATGATGATAAGATAGTGTATTACCTCTCTACATCCACTTTTCTAAGTAGTTTCCGCAGATCTACTTGGCTTTTACCAGGAGTACTGATAAAATAAAAACAAAATAAAGTTAGATAACTGATAAAATAAAGTTAGAGCCTGCCAGATTTTTATCATTTCTCAAAGCAAAGCAGCCATTTCTTAAGTTATGTCCTAGAAGCTAATTCTATATATTATATTAGAAAATAGCAGTAGGGCAGGGGAAGTAGCTAAAACAGAGACTCAGGTTTGATCCCTGGTACCACATAGTTCCTGTTTAATTCTGGGAGTGACTCCCAAGCATCAGAAATTATGTCTTCCTTTTTAAAAAAGAAAAAAAAACAGATACCCATAGACACATCAGATGATATAATCATAGAAAAGACAGATGATATAAGTAAAACTTCTTTTTTTTGGTGGGGCGGGGGGTCACACCTGGCAATGCTTAGGGGTTACTTCTGGCTCTGCACTCAGGAATTACTCCTGGCGGTGCTGGGGGACCATATGGAATGCCAGGGATAGAACCCGGGTCGGCTGCATGCAAGGAAAATGCCCTATTCTCTGTGCAATTGCTCCGGCCCCAAGTAAAACTTCTTATCTCAGTTTGCATTGAAGAGTTCATCTGAAGGAAACATTCAGTTATGTACACACATATGGACAAAGATGTTCACTTGCCCAATGGTTACAGAAATAAATGCTACTAACTTAGATGTCTCAGAATAGGATTTTATCTATGACAGTTAAATAAAATGAATTGCGTACATTGAAGAATCAAAATGATGCTTTAAACTAATTTTTCCTAAGATGGGAGAAATTTCATAACACATCACATGGAAAAAGTCGTAACTGTACCCATAATATGCTTACAGACAGTACACACAGACATGCACTTTTATCATTTTTCCCTTGATTCTAAAATGTATTTGTTTTTATATTTTATTATTCCTGAAATTGGGCTTTTAAAACTCCTGATACTATTTATTTTATCTCCAAAATGTTGTTTGTTGTTTGTTTGGGGATCACACCTGGCAATGCTCAAGGATTACTCCTGCCTCTGTACTCAGGAATGACTCCTGGCAGTGCTCAGGGGACCATATGGTATACCAGGGATCAAAAACTGTTCAGCTGCATGCAAGGCAAGCACCTTACCTGCTGCACGATCTCTCTAGCCCTTAAGAGGTATATTTTATAGTAAATAAGACTAAAAGCCTACCTCTTAGTATCTGTATTGCAAACCATAATGTCCCAAAATAGAGAGTAAGAAGGAAATTGCCACTGAGGCAGGGGGTGGGGTAGGGTGGGGGTGACGGGTTGTTGCCTTTGTTAAGGGATTATTTGGATGATTTTTGTGTTTTGCTTTAAACTTTTCTATAGATTTCAATGTTTTCTACAAGGGGCATACATAGTTTTTGCTACATAATTTTAAAAAAGCATTATTTTACATAAAAGCAGAGCTCAATATTAAGCAGTTCCTTACATTAAGACATTTGTAACTCGAGTTGATAACACTTTGGAGCTGGATTTCAGAGTAACACGCTGCAGGTCAGAGACAGTAACTAGAGGATTCTGTTTCTTCGGTGAAGGTGCAAGCTTTAATTGTAAAATGAGGCATTATTAAAAATATTTTGAAAATAACATTCAATATACATATATAGCAACAACTATTTGAGATTGAATACAGGTAAAAACATACCCACTTCACTACTCAATTTTTATTCAAAAGCTTTAAAATATATTTCTATCTTTTCATACTGATGGTTGGTAGATAAATTGTCTAATAAATTAATTTTAGCATCTATATGTTTGTAGAGGAGACCCAAAACTACTCAAATAAAACATCAGACTTAGTTCTCAGATCAGCATCTATATTTAAGGCTCATATTTAGTTTTTTGGGGTTTTTTTTTGGTTAGGAATGGCTCTGGCAGTACTCTGGAGACCTTATGTACAGGAACAAGACCTGGTTTATCTGCAGGCAAGGCAAGACCTTTACCACCTGGACCATCTCTCCAGCCCCAAGAATTATTTTTGCCTCCATAAAGGGACAACCAGGTTAAAAGCTAAAAGAGTGAATAGCTGTAGCCAATACTTTCTTTCCCCCCCTTAATTGGTGATCTTAAAATGGTTTGTATTCAGTTGGCCCAGAAAACCTTACAAAATGATACAAATCAGGATGTTTAAAGCTTTGTGTTTACTTTAAGTACATTTATGAAACTGCCTGAACCATCCAGGGCATTCATATCTGAAAAGCCTCCAAGTAGCTGAAGAATATCCTTCTCCAGAAGTAATGTGTGCCACTTGGTCATTGCCTCATCAATGGTGATAATGAGGGGCAGGAACAATAGTACAAGGCTGACTTAGAGTTTTGTTTTTGTTTTTGTGCCATACCCAGCTATGCTTAGGGCTCACTTCTGGCTCTGTGCTTAGGGATCACTACTTGTGATGCTTAAGGGACCATATGGAATGCCAGAGATCGAACCTGGGTGGGTTGCATGCAAGGCGAGCACCTAACCCGTTGTACTATCTCTTTGGCCCTCTCCAACCCAGGTTTGATTCTGGGCACCCCATATGGTATCCTGAGCCCACCAGCAGTGATCCCTAAGTGAACACCCAGGAGTAAGCCATGAGCCATTGGGTATAAAACAAAAACAAAACAAGCAAATAAACAAAATGGTGGGGTTGGTAGATGTGCCAGGCCAATGAATGGAGTTGGACATAGGATAGGTGGCCCAAAAAGAGTGCTAAATTTTTACAGCACATGCTTAGACATGCAGAGAGTAATGATGGGCTTAAGAGTTTAGAAATAGGGCTGGAGAGACAGTACAGCACATAGGGCGCTTGCCTTGCGTGAAAGCCAACCCAGGTTTGATCTCTAGCACCCAAATAGTCCTTCAGGTCCTACCAGGAGTAATTAGCTGGGTGTTACCCCAAGCCAAAACCCAACCAAAAGACCCCCCAAAACCAAAAAGAGTTAAGAGGCAGAGTCTTTGATCCTTGAGCATACCAATGTAAACCCAGCTCCCAAGATACGTCACAGAATTTATAGGACTCATGGTCAGATTAACTGCTCATGAGCGCTCTCTGCTACATGGAGATGATTGTGGTAAAAAAGTTGATTGTTCCAAACACAAAAGAGGAGGTTACACAAAAGACAAGCTATCCCAGAAGAAAATGAAGAAGCAAAAACTTGTGGCCTCAAATTAAATTAGGCATAAAGTAAACACAAGTTAAAAAAATTACAAGTATGCTCAGTGACATCTTACCTTCTTTCTTTCATCAATATTCTGTGTCTTTTTTAATTTCACAGTCAGTAGATCTTTAACAGTTATCTGCATGGGTGCATCTTTTTTTAATGGTCTCGCCTTAAGATACAAAAAGAGGTTAGACTTCAATTTGAAACTATGATTTTCAAATCCATATCTACTTTTTAAAAAGTCAGAACTAAAAGTTTAACTTTTATTTCCATAGGGTAAAATTCATTAAACTATTTTCACTAGACCAGATTGGGTCTGTTTTCAGTACCCAAGACTACTAAGGCTACTATAAGGATTCAGGAACATGTAAAGATTTATTAGTAAATAATAGTTTCCTTAATTGCATCTTTGCAGGTGTTATTAGAGTGAGATGGGAGCTGAAGGAGTTCTTTAACTCACAGTGAAGTTTTGTATAAACTGCCCAAAAAGATGATTTAGCTTACAATGTGGTGTTAGTGGTAGGGAAGGTGATTAGGCAGGGGAGGAAGAAATTGACTAGAAGTAACATATGGACAGTGGCCGTCTTTGACATTTTGGGTTTTTATTTATTTTCTTTTTGGGTCACACCGGTTATGTTCAGGGGTTACTACTGGCTCTGCACTCAGGAATTACTCCTGGCAGTGCTCAGGGGACAATACGGGGTACCAGGGATCAAATCCGGGTCAGCCATGTACAAGGCTTACCCACTGTACTATCATTCCGGCCCAGTCTTTGACATTTCGGTGGTGACAAAGCTATAGTAACTTTATACACCATTAGTATACACATTGCATTATTGTAATAGTGCTATATCAGTTATAAACACAAACAACCACAGAGACTGGCACACATCAAAAAAGAGAACAAGGATGGGTATTTGATCATTGTATAATTGAAACCCAAGCACAAAAATTTGTAAGACTACAACTGTACCTCATGATGTCTCACTAATAAAAATTAAAAAAAAAAAAAGAGAACAAGAAGAACTGGTACTGGCGCAGATGTGGGGAGAAAGGGACTCTCATTCATTGTGGGAATGCTGACTCGTCCAGTCTTTTTGGAAAATTTTTTTGAGCATTCCTTAAAAAACCAGAAATTGAGCTTCCATATCATACCCAGCAACACTGTTTCTGGAATATACACTGGGGGCCCAAAAGCACACAGCAGAAATGCCATTTTCACTTCTGTGTTTCTTGCAGCACTATTCACAATAGCTAGAATCTGGGAAAAACCCAAGTGCCTGGGAACAGACGACTAGATGAAGAAACTATAGTACTCTACTACTCTACATGATGGAATACTACACAGCCATCAGGAAAAATTGAAGTCATGAAATTTGCTTATAAATGGATGGAAACTAATTATGTTGAGTTGAATGAGTCAGAAGGAGAGGTATAGACGTAGAATCACTGCACTCATTTGTGGGATATAAAAAAACATAATATGAGAATGTTACCCAAGAACAGCAGAAACAAAGGCCAGGAGGACTGGTCCGAGGTTGGAAACTTGCTGTAAGTTGGGGGAGACAGCAGTTAGGATAGAGAAGGGACCACTCTAGTAATTTTAGTTAAATATTAATTTATTTTGTGGTGCTGGGGATCAAACTCAGGATCTCACATGTGCAAAACAAATGTTCTAGTGTTGTGCCACATCACTGCTACACTTTTTATATTTATTTTATTTTGGGATAATTTGAGGGTCACACCTGGCAGTGCTTAGGGATTACTCTCAGTTCTGTGCTCACAAGGTACCCTGGTGGTGCTTGGTGAACATGTGGTGACAGGAACTGAATCAGCCTGGTGCATGGAAAGCATACCCTCAGCACCTGAATGATCTCTCTGGCCCCAACAAATTGTTTTTGTTATTTTGGGGGAGCTACACCCAGTAGTACTCAGGGGTTACTCCTGGCTCTGCTCCCAGGGATGATTTTTGGGAGGGTTTAGGGATTGAATAAGGTGCTGGGGACTGAAGTCAAGTTGGTCGCATGCAATACTGCTGTACTATTACTCTGGCTCCAAACCTCCACAAATTTAATTTTTCAATTCCTTTTGTGTTTGTACGACACACCATAGTGCTCAGGTGTTCCTCCCAGCTCTGGTGGAACCTAGGGGATTTTCAGTGCTGGAGGACAAATGTGGGCCACCTGCATATGAAGCAAATGCTCAGTCCTTTAAAGTCTCTCTCAACTCCTATTATTGTATTTTTAAAATTATTTAGTTTATATTTATTTTTTTGCTTTTTGGGTCACACCCAGCGATGCACAGGGGTTACTCCTGGCTCATGCACTCAGGAATTATTCCTGGCTGTGCTCGGGGGACCATATGGGATACAGGGAATTGAACCCGGGTCAGCCGCGTGCAAGGCAAACACCCTACCCGCTGTGCTATTGCTCCAGTCCCAGTTTATATTTTAATTTTGGGACCACATCTTGCAGTTCTTGGAGGACTAATCATCCTGGCTTTGTTCCTGGGGGTTGCTCCTGGCAGTGATGGAGGTAGGTAGGGGAATGAAAACATGGGGTTCTGGGATCTCTGGTTCTTCCTGCATGCAAAATGTGGTCTCAGAATTCTTGAGTTCCCTGTAGCCCTCAGTAGATTTTAAAACAGGGTCATGTCACGGCCAGAGATATAATACAGGGATAAAGGTACTTGCCTTGCCTGTGGCTGGCTCCAGTTTTATCCCTGGAAATAAGTCATAGAACTTTACAGTGGGGCACCCCCAGCACTGCTGAGAGTGATGCCAGAGCCTGGAGTAACTCTTTGCATGTAGGATGTGGTCCAATCTCATTCCATTCCCACTAAAAAGGGTCATATCTGATTACTCTTTCCACAGGTTTCCACAGGTATCTCTGGTCACCTCAGCAGATAAGTGATTCTCATTAAAAACTAATTCTCCAGCATAAAACTAAACATCCTACTTTGGGATCTACCAACTCTTTTTATTTTGACTTCTCTCACTGAGTTTCCCTCTGGTCTTCATCTGGTTTCTCGGGAATTTTCTTTTTGGTAAAAGAAATGGTGAGAAAGCAAAACTTTACTGGGTTTTATTCATTGCTTTTTTTTTTTGCTTTTTGGGTCACGTACAGCAATGCTAAAGGGTTACTTCTGGCTCTGCACTCAGCAATTACTCCTAGCTGTGCTCAGAGGACCTGGGATGCCAGGGTTTGAACCTGGGTCGACCGCGTGAAAGGAAATGCCCTACCCACTGTACTATCACTCTGGCCCCCATTCATTCATTCTTATAAAATAATAAAACAATCACTTTCATTTCTAACTCCTGCTTTTGTGAGTTCCTCAGGGACAGAGTCTTTAAAAACACAGTAATGACATATTAAAATACAGTCTGAGAACAAATATAGGTTGGATAGCAGAGGAGTTAAGGAGTTTGTCCTGCATGTGACTGATCTGGTCAATCCCTGACACCACAGATGTCCCCTGAGCACTGCCAGGAGTGATCTCTGAGTTCAGAACCAGAAGTAAGTCCTGAGTACAAAAGGTGTGACTCAAGAAACAAAACCAAAATAAGCAAAATATAGACTTCCTATAAAAATCCTTAGGCCAGTCTTAAAGGACAATGTAGCTTTATTCCTAAATTGCATACTGACCTGAACACACACCTACTACCTAATTTCCTACCTGAAGTGCTTTGGTGGTACTGGATTTTCTGAGTAGCAAAGGTGCCATCGGTGGTGGTGGAGGAGGCAGTGGAGGAGGTGGAGGGGGTGGAGGAGGAGGTGGAGGTGGCACAGGATGACTGGTTGGCTGTGGCAGTGTAGAAGGAAGTACAGCTTGGGATTCTCCAGGCTGGCTTTGAGCATAGGCAGGCACATCTGTAAATTTACCACTCATGTGACACATCTGAGCACAATGTGGGCAGGAAGAATTTTCCGAGACAGTCTAGAAGATATTATATTTGGCAAATGAATAGTAAATTTGGATCTTACAGCTGAGAATCATCAAAATCAGAGTCATCATACATTGAATACATTTTTAGTATACAATGCTTTTTAATATTTCCCCATTTGTCACAATCTCATTCATTCATATCTTTGTTTTGTTTTATATATCAGTCACTGTGGGTACAATGGGAGTCTTGTCGGCTCCTCTTGTATCTGGTGAAGAAGACAGACATTAAACACACACACACACACAAACCAAAAACAAAAACCACACACACACACACACACATACACACACACACAAACCAAAAACAAAAACAAAAACCACACACACACACACACACACACACAAATAGGGACCGGAGGGATAGAACAGCAGGTGAGGCATTTGCGTTTCACGCATTCAACCTGAATTTGATTCCCAACATCCCATATGGTCCCACAAGCACCGCTAGAATTAAGTGCATAGCCTGGAGTACCCACAAGCACCACTAGAATTAAGTGCATAGCCTGGAGTAAGTCATGAGCATTGCCAGGGTGGCGCCAACACAAAAACAAATAAATAATGCACAAATACACTCAAAATAAAACAAAATAATACTCAATGAGAGAAATGAAGCAGGCTGTCACCATGAATAATGAACCTAGATTATCCAGCAGGTGAAGGGAGAATGGACCAGGGAAGGAGAATTCCTAGTAGAGAGAAATCAGCTTAATGTAGCCAAGAATATAATAGATTTCAGAAACCGATAAAAAGACTAAAGGTGGGACTAGAGTGATTATGCAGAAGTTAAAAGGGTTAAAGGGCTGGCTTGCAAACGGCTGATCCCAATTCAATCCCTGGCACCACATTTAGACCCCTGAGCACTACCAGAAGTGACTCCTGAGCACTGTCATTTGTGGTGGCCCAATACTCCTTCCTCCCCTCCCCAAAAGGCCAAGGGTCCTGGCCAAAGAGACAGTACAGGGGAGTAAAGGCGCTTGCTTTGCAAGCATTTGACTCCCCCCCACCCCGGTACTGCATATGTACTCTGAGCACAACCAGGAATGACCCATGAGCACAGAGCCAAGAGTAAGCCCCAAGCACAGTTGGGTACAACCCACCCCCACCAACCCCAAAGAGATCAAGGTCTAGAACATGACTATTGGCTCCTCCAATTTCAAGCTGAGGACGTAATTGCCAGTATCTCCCTTTATTTGGAGGCAGGGTCTTTAAAGAGGTGATTGAATTAAATTATTAGGCTGATAGTCTGGGCTCTAATCTAACCATCAGGTATCTTAATGAAAAGAGAAAATTTAAACATGCGGGAGAGCTACTAGGGATGGGCCTACACAGAGAATAGGTCATTTGAGGATACAGTGAGGACGCCAGCAAAGAATCGCCTCAGAAGAAACCAACCTATGGAAACTTCGATCGCAGATTTCTACCCTTCAGAATTGTGAAAAAAAATCAGTGTCTGTTGCATAAGTCACCCAGATGGAGTTACTTTGGCAGTGCTAGCAAACAAATATAATGTTTCTATGTTTTATTTTTGTTTTGGGGCTACACCCAGCAATGCTCAGAGGTTCAGTGTTTGGGGGTTGCATCCACAAGTGCTTGAGGGTCTATGTGGGTTGGGGATCAGATTAGGGATCCAGCAAGTAAAACTTGTGCTCCAGACTATTCTATCTATCTATCTATCTATCTATCTATCTATCTATCTATCTATCTATCTATCCATCTATTTATTTATTTATTTAATTTTTTCTTTCTGGTCACACCTGGTGATGCTCAGGGGTTACTCCTGACTCTGCACTCAGGAATTACTCCTGGCAGTCCATATGGGATGCTGGGGATCCAACCCGGGTTGGCCACATACAAGGCAAATACCCTACCCACTCTACTGTTGCTCCGGCCCCACCAGACTATCGAACTACCTCCCTGACCCTATAACAACTCTGTAAAATAAGAAATATTTTTTACAGTCTTTTTTGATTTGGAGTCACACCAAGTAATGTGTGGGTGGGGGCAATTTCCTGTGCAGTACACGCTTGCGGGAATTATGAATTATTGGGGATCAACCTCCAGCAATGCAAAGCATGCATTTCAGTCTTTTGCCCCATCTGCAGGACTGAGACTGTGTATTCTTCTCTCATGATTTGAGTCAGAATGAGTACAGGGTTTGTTTTCCCACTTCCTTCAGCCTTGAGCAGCCTAAAGCCCACTCAACCTGAGGGACTCTTCCCATTCTATTCCCCTACAGTGAAAGATAAGAAAATACTTCCTTTGGATGTGAGAGTTTGAGATTCCTTGGCTTTTACAGCTATACTACAGCCTCTCCCCTAGCAATAAAGGAACAATAGTTACTCCTTTCATGGAGCCAGACGTGGAGAGCTCCCTTAGTTGTTATCTCTTATGCTCAAGCATAAATCCCTAGTAAATCCTGTATGTGAATATTTTTTTTTTTCTGGGGAGGGTTGAATCACACATCTTGTTGCTCTAGAGTCACTTCTGGTGGTGTTTAGGGAACTATGTGGCTTGAAATGGCAGCGTGCAAGGTAAGGGCCTTCACCACTGTACTATCTCTCTGGCCTGTAGAATTTTTTGGGTAATCTTTTTGTTCAGGGGCTACATCTGGAGGGACTGGGGGTCATTTCTAGTGGTGTTCAGGATTCAAACCCTGGCTCGTGCACTCAGTCCTTTGAGCTGTCTCTCATAATCCTTGTTGGGGAAATTTTAAGGCCTCTGGTTAAGTTTACTGCTCCAGAGTTTATAAACCCAAAAGGATAGATTATAGCTGTTATAACAGATGTTATAAAATGTTAAAAATCAAGAGGCAGGGCTGGAGGATAGCACAGCGAGTAAGGCATTTGCCTTGCATGCGGCTGACCTGAGTTTGATTCCCAGCATCCTAAATGGTCCCCTGAGCACCACCAGGGAGTGATTCCTGAGTGCAAAGCCAGGAGTAACCCCAAAAAAGTAAAAAAAAAAAAAATCAAGAGGCCAGCAGAACTGCGCTCCTTTCATGGCTGTAAGAAGAATTTATTCCTTGTCTCTTGCAACCTCTGGCAGCTCTTGGCATCCCTTGTATGCAGTCCCACTGATCACACTCTACGTCTGAGATCGCATTGCTCCTCCTTTTCTGTGACTTATGCTCTCTCTTTCCACTTCATAAGGACCAATGGACAATTTGCCATTGGATTTAGAGTCTATCCAGATAATATAGGAAGACTTCCTTATCTCAAAATCGCTAAATGCATCTGCAAAGACCTTTCTTTGAGGTAATATTTTCAGATTCCAGGCATGAGGACTTGAACATACCTTTTTCTTGTTGATGCTATTGTTATAGGGTAGGTAAAGGGTGAGAAGGAGGGGACATGTAATACCAGGGTGAACCCACAGCCTCTCATATGCACGGCAAGTGCTCTATAATTTGAGCCCGTGGACATAACCATTTTTGGCCACCATTCAGCCCACTGCTTAATGATGAAACAGAATCATTCCATCATTTCATAATATAGTTTCATTCCCATTTTATTCTTTGAGTTTTTCACTTTGAGAATATGGATCTAGCATAGGGAAGTTAGAGAAGAGTGCATAGTTTAAGTTTCTTTCCTGCGTATATTAGTCCAGAAAATAGAAACTACCAGAATATTTAAGAGTTGGTTATATTGCTGATGATCAGCTCAAAAGCCCGTTGGGGACGGTGCAGCAGTCCAGATGATGAGCAACAGTAGAATAATGCAGGCTGGTGATAGAAAAGAATCAGATTTCTGGAGCAAGGTTAACCCAGAGAATCAAGAAATATGGTACACTTAGCAGATCTACCAGGGGGAGCTGAAGTCGGGGAGGAAATACTCTTAAAGAAGCAGTAACCCAGTGCAGAGAATGAAGTTGAAAAGAAAAAAGAGAAACACCTCCCTCCTGCACCTGCCTAGTTTCTCATCAGTGACTCACAGGAGCACAGCACATGCAAAAGCCTAGTGACACAGAGATTGGAAATGAGGAATGCAGGGGTGGCTGCCCCTTGGCAATACAAAGCAGAGCCTCTTGACTGAAGTTTAAGAAATACATTTCAGAGCTTTCAGAGCAAACAGCCCAAGATGCACTTTCACCTGGAGCCATTCCTCCTCCGAGTAAAAGCATGTAAGGGTTCTTTTTTATTTATTTTCTGGACCTCCCAAGTGGTACACAGGAAGTCTGGGGGCCAACTTGACAATATTCAACCAAATTAGCCCAAGTTTCAATGCAAGAATCTGATGATGTATGCTGCTTGGGGCTCTGCGGTGCTGGGGACCACTAGGGCTAAATTCTGTGATGTTCAAGTATCAGGGCTTCCAGATCTACACTCGTTGTGCTCAGGAGGTTGTTAGAGATTGTGTCCAGGTCAGGTACATGTCCTAACTACTGTACCATCTCCCCATCCCTTGCTGGGACTCCAGGGGAGGACACCCCCTTTTCCCTTTGTTTAATTCCTGGCTTATATTTTTATTTGACAATACCAACCTTCAGGGTTTCCTGGAGTTTGCATAATTCACCTTCCAAGATACAAAACCGTTCTCTTAGACTGTGAAGTTCTCGGTGATAGAAACGAGATGGAAAGAACGTATCTTTCAATACTTCTAAACTCTGAAATTAAAGTATAAAGAAGAATGCAATGAGTAATAAGCTAAGGTCAAGAACAAAGGACAAGAGGGACTGGAGCAATAGCCACCAGGAAAAATAAAGTCATGAAATTCATGTATAAATGAATGGACATGGAGAGTATGCTGAGTGAAATGAGTGAGAGGAAGAGGGACACAGAATAATCAGAGTCTTTTCTGGGATATAGAAAAACACAGTATGAGGGGCTGGAGTGATAGTACAGCAGGTAGTGCATTTGCCTTACACATGGCTGATCCAGGTTTGATCCCCAGCATCCCATATGGTCCTCTGAGTACTGCCAGGAGTAACTGCTGAGTGCAGAGCCCCCAGCATTGCTGGGTGTGATACCGAAACCCCCACCCCCAACTCAAAAAACAACCAAACAAACCCATATTAGTATGAGACTAATACCCAAGGACAGTAGAAACCAGAGTCAGGAGGAATAGTCCATGGTTGGAAGCTTGTCGCAAGTGGTGGGGGGACCACTCTGACAAAGACAGTTGGAAATGATCACTCTGGGCAAGAACTAAGTGTTAAGTGCTGAAAGTAGATAAAGGTAGAATATGATAACCTTTCAGCACCTGTGATGCAAATCATAATGCCCAAAAGGAGAGAGAGAGATAGAAGAAAAGTGCCTGCCATAGAGGCAGGCTGGGGGATGGGGGTGGGAGGGAAACTGGGAACATCGGTGCTGTGAAATGTACACCGGTGAAGGGATGGGTGTTGGAACATTGTATGACTGAAACACAATCATGAACAACTTTGTTACTGAGCATCTCACAGTGATTTTATTAAGAAAGAAAGAAAGACATTAAAAAAAAAGAAAAAGAAAAAAGAGGCACTGGAGCAACTGTATAGTGTGTAGGATGCTTGCCTTGCACACAACGAACCACCAAGCCTGTCAGGTATGATCCCTGAGTGCAGCCAGGAGTAAGTTGTGAACACTGCTGGGTGTGACCCCAAAAAATCAAAACAACAACAACAACAAAAAAAAAGTGAGAGAGACAAGAGGACAGGGGCATGGCACAGTAAAAGAGTACTTTTACCTTATATGTGTGAAGTCCTGGGTTAAAAAGAAAAGGGAAAAAAAAGAACAGAAAGTGGTGCTTTGGTGTTTTAGAGAATGAAAGCCTACATAACCTTATCATTTCTTCTTCTTTTTTTTCTGGGAAGGGGGCAGTGGTAGCACATCTGGTGGTACTTGGAAGTTACTCTTGGGTTGGCAACTGCATGTGGTTGCCTGTGGTGTTCAGAGGACCATGTGGTGCCAGGGAGTGAACCTGGGGTTCCTGTATTCAAAGTATGTGCTTCAGCTGTTTTAACTATACTTATGGCTCCCATACTTTCATTTTACCTGAACTTATCCTGAGTGTTATATGACTATCTGAACACACAAACACATATAGTTGGTGTGCAGTGAACTGTACATACAGGTCAACACACACAGCAAGTATGTTGAAAACATGTATGGCAAGTATGTATCAAACACATACCTCGACTATGCAGCTTTGGCACCAGTTGTATAGACACCATACTTTGTTTACACCGAATTTTACAGCATCCTTGATATTGGGAAATTTGAAGTTCCAGGATGATCTTAGCCAACTTCTGCTAAGGGGGGATTCTGTTGTAGAAATAACCACTCTGTAGGAAAAAGAAAATCAAACAAATAAAAACTCATGAGTTGGAGATTGGAGAGTACTCGGTGGGCTGGAACGTGTGCTTTCCACGAGAGCTACAAGAGGCCCAGGCTCCATCCTCAGCACAGCATCGCCCCAAGAACCACCAGGAGTAACTCCAAAAACTGAACTGGGAGTACATCTTGAGTACCACTGGGTGTTGCCCCCCAAACAACAAGAAACAACAAAAAACTTAAAAAAAAAAAAAACAAACTTGTGAGTTAGAACAGTAGCTTCTAATTAAATAAGGTAGTTTTTTTTTATACGTTTGTTTTATTTCATTAGATGCCAGGAATCAAACCCATGGCCTCACAGATTCAAGTCATGTGCTTTACCACTACGTTCCATCTCTGGTTCAAATAAACTAGTTTGATTTAATTTTTAAATTTTTGGTTTTTGGGCCACCGGACAGTGCACAGTGCTTACTCCTGAGTATGTGAGGGTACAATATGTGGTGCTGGAATCAAATTAGGGTTTGTCATACTTAAGCAAGTGCCTTAACCCTTGAACTCTCTCTCTGGCTCCTATATAAAAAGAAACTTGTTTGTTTTGGTTGGTTGTGGTTTTGGTTTTTGGGTAACATGCAGTGGTGCTCAGAGCTTACTCCTGGCTCTGACCTCAGGCATCACTCCCAGTGGGGTTGGGGGACCACATGAAACGCTGGGGACCCAACCCAAGTCTGTTGTGTGCAAAGTTACTTTCCTATAGCACTGTCTTCCCGTTGTTCATCAATTTGCTCCAGCGGGCACCAGTAATGTCTCTATTGTGAGACTTGTTGTTATTGTTTTTGGCATATCAAATATGCCACGGGGAGCTTGCCAGGCTCTGCCGTGCAGGCAGGATACTCTTCGAGAGGGATGGAGGAATCAAACCTGGGTTGGTTTCACGCAAAGCAAACAACCTATTTGCTGTGCTATCGCTCCAGCAACTTCCCTATAAAGTGTACTAAATAGTTTTACAGTATAGAGTTTCAAAATCAGGAACAGAGATTACTTAAACCGAAATTCTTCACTAAGTTCTATAATTCAGGTTTTTTTTTTCTGGCCTCACTTGGTGATATTCAGGAATTATTTCTGGTGGTGCTTGGGGGACCATATGGGATGCTGGGGATAGAACCCAAACAGCTGCATGGAACACAAGCACCTTATCCGCTATACTGTCTCTTCCAGCTCAAATTCAGGAATTCTTCAACAAAGAATAAATAAGTAAAAGTAAATAATAACAATGTTTTAAAAATATATAAAGTGATAAGGAAATAAACATCAAATGCTCAAGAGAGTGCATCAGGTGGGTTGAGCTCATGCTTTGCATGCAGGAAAGCTAGAATTTGATTCCTGGCACCGAATCATCCCAGAGCGCTACTGGAAGTAAGCCCTGAACACAAAACCTGGAGCAGTCCCTGAGTGCTGCCAGGTGTGGCCCTGATGAAAGAGACATCAGGGATCCAATAATGAACAAAAGAGAGAGAAACCTTGACCTTATAGAATTTATAGTGTCACAGAAGAAAGCTAAAAGAAAGTTTCTTGATGATTTATTTGTGAATAAATGCTAAAAAAAAAAAGATAAAGAGGGGACTGTGAAATGCTGGGCGGAGATGGAATTTATAGCTAGGGTAATTGAGAAGGTGGACTTGGCGGGGGAGTAATATTTCCTAACAAGTACTCAGAGGGTCTGGGGCCACTTGCTGTGGTGCTTGGCACTGCTGTGCAGTCAATACTGGGGTCAGGAAATGGTGCTGCATGATGCATCCAGTGATATTAGGGGCTACCCAGGTGGCTGAGGAACAGGTGGTACCAGGGATTAAGTTCACTTGCAAGGCATGTGTTGCTGTACTATCAACCAAACCATTGAGTTATCTCCCTGCACCCTGAAAATGAAAAGTTTTTGTTTGTTTGTTTGTTATTGTTTTGGGGCTGGAGCAATGGCACAGCATGTAGGGCATTTGCCTTGCACATGGCTGACCCAGGTTTGATTCCTCCGTCCCTCTCGGAAAGCTCGGCAAGCTACCAAGAGTATCCCACTTACATGGCAGAGCCTGGCAAGCTCCCCATGGCATATTTGATATGCCAAAAACAGTAACAACAAGTCTCATAATGGAGACATTACTGGTGCCCACTCAAGCAAGTTGATGAACAATGGGAGGACAGAGCTACAGTGCTACTATTGTTTTTAATGGAATAGATTTTACTTTTTTTAATTTATTTTAAAAAAGTTTTTTTTTTTTTTTTTTTTTTTTGCTTTTCTTTTTGGGTCACACCCGGTGATGCACAAGGGTTACTCCTGACCTTGAACTTAGGAATTACTCCTGGCGGTGCTCAGGGGATCATATGGGATTAAATAAATAAATAAAATTATGGGGGGAAAAAAAAGTAAGGTGGAGTTCATGCCCAAATCAATCAGCTAATCAGTGACTGAATAAATAGCAGTATTCCTACATAAGAAAAAAAAAAGAATGGTGCAAAGGAGAATCAGTCAACTCAGTAGCCTTGGGGTCATGCTAAACTCTCTAATTTATTTTATTTTGGTGCCACTCCCTGAGCTGCTCAGGGACTATTCCTGGCCTGACACTCCCTCCAGTGGGCCCTATGAAAAGAGGATGAGAACGCTATTTGGGTCTCTCAAAGAGGAATCGAAAGAGCCATGCTTGGAGTATCATGCTTCACTCAAATGAGAGAAAGAATCCGGAGTTCCGACCTCCGTCAACGCTCAAGAATCAGGGACGCTGTCTCATTTGCCAAGGTGTTGAAAATCAGATTGGCTGGACATGTAATGAAATTTAGAGACGACTGCTGGACTAGAGCCGTTACCGACTGAATTCCACGGACGTCAAAAGATCGTGTGGCCGCCCACCTATGAGATGGTCAGACTTCTTTGTCAAGACCCTGAACAATCGGTTTGAGGCTTTTTGTGTTCCTAGAATGAGCAGGTGCCATTGGGCTACGCTAGCACGCAACAGGGATGAACAGAGACGTTACTGGCGCCTGCTCGGGCAAATCGATGAATAAAGGGATATCAAGCGATCAAGTGATCAATGGTGGGGGGGGGGGAGTCACACCTGGCGATGCACAGGGGTTACTCCTGGCTCATGCACTCAGGAATAACTCCTGGTGGTGCTCGGGGGACCATATGGGATGCTAGGAATCGAACCCAGGTTGGCTGTGTGCAAGGCAAACGTCCTACCCACTGTGCTATTGCTCCAAGCCCAAGAGAGGAAGACTTATGCAGAAGACAAGATGATGTTATTTTAACAGACTCATTCTGACTGATACATTGAATTAATACTGCAGAGAGGGCCAGAGCAGAAGCAGGAAGCAATTAGGGTTCTTGATACTCAGGAGAAAGAGAAAAGAATGAAGAAAGTGATTACTGGATTTTTGAGTATTTGTTTATATTTGCTTTTTGTGAAGAGTGCCATAACAATAAAACTATGAAGTATATTGTGAAAACTAGCATAATTGAATTTCTGTCAATAATACATTTTATCTGAGTCCCAGACATTAAATGATCAAACTTTGCTAATATTAAGATTTAAATTTTAGTTTTATAAAGGATTTATACAATTAAATTAACTAGGAAGGGGAAATATTTACTGTGTACACGCAATGCAGCTCATTGTAATTTTTGCTTCACTTGAACTCTTACATTATCACATAAAATTTAGGACACTTAACATTTCATTGCAGGAAGCTGGAGAGATCGTACACAGGACAGGGCATTTGCCTTGCTTGCAGCCGACCTGGGTTTGATCTCTGGCACCCCATATGGTTCCCTGAGCCCCACAGCACTGAACCCTGAGAGCAGAGCTCAAAGTAAAGCCTGGCACCTCCTCGTATGGCCAAAAAAACAAAAAAAATTTAATTCAGAAAATGGGGATGTTTAGTAGTGAGCATATATGAGCCCTGAGTTTGATCCCTGGCACTTAAAAACAAATTGTTAGTTTTTTGGTAAAAGTGTATTACAAGTGTTGTATTGGACAACAACAAAAGACTTTTAATTGTTTATCTGAAATTCAAATTAAACTGGGAATTCTCTCTCTCTCTATATATATATGTGTATATATATGTATATATATATATTTTTTTTTTTTTGGCTTTTTTCCCCCTCACACCTGGAGATACTCAGGGGTTACTACTGGCTCTACACTTAAAAATTACTCCTGTTGGTGCTTTGGGAACCATATGGGGTGCTGAGTATCGAACCTGAGTCTGCCACATGCAAGGCAAATGCCCTACCCACTATACTATCTCTTCCAAACTGATCAAATTTTTAATATTTTTTCTGTTCCATATTATGACTTACCTTTCTGGTGAGGGTGGTGGAGGGGGAGGAATAAATTGCTTAGGATGAATGTGAGAAGCTTCTTTTTTTTTGAATAATCTTTTGGCTTTGGCTTTTAGCTTTCTTCTTCGTTGTTTGTACTTGGGCATGGTTTCTGTAGAAAAAAGTTTCATGTCTTTTGTTGAAGAATATATGAATATAGAAAATGCACAAATCTTATAGTTCAATGAAATATCACAAAGTGAACTTACTATTTTCTTTTTTAAAAATTCATTTATTTGGAGGGTTGGAGCGATACTACAGAGTGTTGGGGCATTTGCCTTGCATGCAGGCCGACCAGCGTTTGATCCCTATCATTGCCAGGAGTAATCTCTGAGTGCAAAACAAACAATACAAAACAAAAACCTGGTTCTGTGACCATGGATTATTCCTGGTTAGGCTTGGAGACCATATGCAGTGCTGGAATTTAACCCAGATTGGTCTTGTGGAAGACAAGCACCCTACCTCCTGTACTATCTCTCAGGCACCACATCCCAAATTTTAATAGCGCTCTCTTACATTCTCACTAATAGTTTTCAGTCAATTAAGCAATTTCCATTGCCAGTTCAATTACTTCCTCCCAAACATTCCCAGCCTATCTCTGGCATTTTCTTATATTAAATGTTACATTTTACACTGTGCAACATTGCTTTGTTTAGTTGGTTTTGTTCTTTAGGGAGGTTGCCACCTTCTAGAAGTCTTATCCAGTAAAGTAGGCACATAACAAATATGACACATGAAGAAAAAAACAGTAGATATTTACAGAGAAGTAAGCTTTCTATTAAGAAATATATGTTTTCAAATTTTAATGTGTATGAAAATCATTGGAGGGAGAACATTTTGTTTAAATACATATACTAAGTTACTAAGTCTCTGTGGAGCACGACAATTTTAAGTAAGTGTCATTTATGATGTAAACAACATTGTGTCGTAGGCCACATTTTGAGTAGCGAAGAAATAAAGGAATGTACTTAAGGAGAATAAATGCTTTGCTTCGCGACATATATTCCGGAGTGTTAATTAAACAGAATTAGAGTGGCGTTTCAAAGCTCCTTTTCCCCACTCCATTTCCCTTCAAAGTTCAGCCAAACACCCCAACTCCGTTAGAAAACAAGCAGTAACGAGTCCAGCGACGGAAGATGCAAGCCCAGGTAATAAAGAAAAATCTCGCTACACTTACTAGCCTAAGAGTCCGGGAATTAGATGGAGGACCAGCAGTGATCTCTTCCTGGCCTTAAAGAAAAATTCAAAATTAAAGCCTTATCAAGGAGAAACCAATTGTAGAAGAGTCTCTACTTGATTCGCCCTCCGGGGAGTGTAAGAGCACAGCACGGCTTTTGAATGGCTAAGAGGGCAGCGCCTTTCATCCAATCAAAACCAAGGCGCTATTTGTATGAATAAGAGGAAGGCGGGAGCGAAAGGGGGCGGGGCAAGGAAGCAGGAAAGGTGTGTCAAGTCTCCACAACTGTTTGTGGAAGCTTTTGTGCAACTGGTCGGCTCTTTTTCCGATTGCGCCAATCGCAAACCCTTCCCTGCCGAGTCCTGCAGTCTCGGCTCGGGAGCCGAGATACGATATAGCCAATGGAAAAAAAGAAATGTACAGCGGCCAATCGTCCAGCGGCGTTTTGTGTCTCTGTCCAACAGAAAAAGGGGTTTCATCAGGAGAGGCGTTACCCAGCCGCCAATGGGCGGGCGCCGGTGAAACATTGCAGCCAATGGGAAGGGAACGTTGAGTGACAGCTGTCCAATAGGGAACCTCAGTGCTAGTACGGCTGGCGGCTTAAGCGCCGCCGCGGTCTGAGGAATGTCAACTATTCAACATGGAGGCGGAGGTCGATAAGCTGGAGCTGATGGTGAGTGGAAAGTGGAGGGTTGATCCTGCTGGCTAGTTTATGTTTTCCCAACGAACGGCCTCCAAGGTGGGACGCTTACCTGGAGTCGCAGGAAACCCTGGGCGGCGTAACGGGCTGAAGCCGACTCAGTTTTTCTCTTCGGTACCAAAGGGAGTCGCCGCCGCCTGGTCTCTTTTAACCGTCGCGGGGGAAGGGGTTACATCCGGGAAACTAGTGAGGGAAATGGCGGGAGATGCTGAGGGTGCGGGGTCTTTGGAATTTCTCGTTTCTCGCCCACCCTTTCCTCCCCTCAAGAAACCGGAGCGCGTGCCGGCAGCTTCCTATCTGTGTCCACCAAGATGCATGACTGGAACGGCCCTTCAGCGCTCCGAGAAGGCCGGAGATGGTTCACACCTCGGGAAAGGAGCGTGGAGGGCGGGGTGGGGAAGGAACCGAGAGGAGCGTGGAGAATTCTCTTCGGGGCTGAACCGTTCTCAGTTTCTTCGGTGGACTGAGAAAGTCCGAGAAAAGAATGCCAGACGTGCGTACGCAACTTCATTAGCGGCCGAGAATCCCCGAGACCAGTTTTGGGGTCGGCCTTCCTTGAGTTGGGGGCGACTGTGAAACCTGGGGATCAGAGAGCCACGAGCCCCCTTCGTGGAGTTCTGGCGGGATTGGGACAAGGAAGGCTCCGTTGCTGCCCGGGAGTTGCCCGGTTTCATTCATCTGTGAAAGTAGCGGACCGGGACGAATGACCAGAGAAGCTCCCCGCAGCTACTTGGCCTGTATGTGGGCGCCCAGCTTAGAGGACTGCCCTGGTTTCCTTCTGCAGATCTTTCTTTCCCTCTCGTCCTGCTGTTCCCTCCCTCCCATCCCGGGACTCCCAGCGTGATCGCCCGCGCTTTTCCCTTCTCGTAGTTCCCTTGTTCGGTCGGCCACCCTGAGACCCCGCGGGGCCCATCTGTTCTTTGGATTGCCGCCTTCCGTTCAAACAGGGGGTTAAGCTCCTCTAAGGTGTTTTGCTAGAGAAATTAAGCCAGGATCTTCCTCTCCCTCCTCCTCCTGCCTCTCGCAGGCTCTGCTCCTTAGCTATCAGGGAGGCTTAGGGGTGCGCTCCTCCACCTGAATCCTGGGAGGCATTTGAACATCTGCACGTGTACTGATTCTGGAAGAAAGGACCCTGCTCAGCCCCTTCCCATCCCCCCAAACCTGAGGCCGATCTTGTTTTCTTATAATATTTGAGTAAATTGTAACGCCTCATTAAAATTTGATTTGAGGGTTTTCGGTGGGTTCCCATGTTCTCAGTGTTAGTTTTCTTTGTAGGGGGTGCATATGTGAGTGGGGGAGGGGAGATGGCAGCGAAGGAGGAAGTTCCTACAGTTCTCCACGCCTGTAAAATGAACTTTAGGTTCGGATCTTTATTATTTTTATTATGAACTGTTTTAAAGATAAAACAACCCCCAAAAGTTGAGTGTTTTAGTCTCCCAAAAGGCATAAATCTTAGTACTGCCATCATTTTCTCACCCATTCTGAATTTGTCCACACTGCCATTTTTTCCCTAATTAATTGTAAAATGCTAAGTGATGCTAATTCTTTTCATATGCACTTTTCCCTCCCAAGCTGGCCTTTTAATTTTGAGGTATGGTGTAAGCCTTCATGACTGCAATGAGGTCAGTATTTCCATTTTATGCTGTTTTGTTTATGTTTATTTTGGGCCACAGCAGAGGTGCTGGAGGTTTACTCTGCGCTCTCTACGGGGGACCATGTGGAGCTGATCTCCGCACTCAGTTTGAGGATCAGTATCTCCCTCTCTTTGGATCTGTGAATCTTGGGGCTGGAGCCATAGCACAGCGGGTAGGGCGTTTGCCTTGCACCCAGCCAACATGGCCAACCCGAGTTGGATTCCTCTGCCCCTCTCCGAGAGCCCGGCAAGCTACCGAGAGTATTCGATAGGCCAGACACAGTAACAACAAAGTCTCCAATGGAGACGGTACTGGGCCCGCCCGAGCAAATCGATGATCAACGGGAGGGCCTTTACTTTACTTTTACTTTATCTCCCTCTCTTTGGATCTGTGAATCTTGAAAAAAAAAATTAAGAAAACTGTTTTTTTCCTTTTTTCTTTTTGGGTCACACCCAGCGAGACTCAGGGGTTACTCCTGGCTCTGCACTCAGGAATTACTCCTGGCTGTGCTTGGGGAACCAAATGGGATGCTGGGGATTGAACCCGGGCTGCATGCAAGGCAAACTTCTTACCCGCTCAGGCCCGGAAAACTGTTCTTTTTTAAGGCTAAATAGTATGCACTCTCACTTATTGTTATTAATAGTCAACATTGGTTTCTCAGCAAACCCCTAATTTAAGTGATGTAAAACCTGATCCAGGTGCCAGGTGAGCTGCATGCAAGGCTAGTGTCATAGCCTCTTTATTTTTATACTGTTTGGAATATAACACCCAGGGCCTCACATATGTAATGCAGGTGGTTTAACAGTGAGGCCAAGACAGAATGGTTTGTTTGTTTTTGTAACACACCTCAATTGGTATTGGGGGGTGGGGTGAAGTTACTCCTATCTATGGTGCTGGGGTACCATATATATGGTGCTCAGTATTTAAATAGATCCACTGCATGAAGACTAGCCCCCCTCCCTTAACCTGCGCCATCTCTCCAGTCCCTTGCCACATACTTCAAAAAAAAGAAAACTGCATATTAATTGGTCTGTTTTTATAGAATTCTAAAAGTATTTAGATGATCAACGCTAAAAATCTTTGAAGATCAGGTTTTACATTACTTAAGTTAGGCACTTGCTGAGGAGCCAGTGTTGACTATTTAATAACAACAAGTGAGAGTGCATACTATTTAGCCTCGAAAAGAACCTTTTTCTTATTTTTTGGTCAAGATTAACTGATTCAAAAAGAGAGAGATACTGATTCTCTTAGTTGGAAAATTTTTCACACTTTCATTGTATTAATTTCTAATTTGGAAAGTTAAAATGTTTATTTTTCAATACTTGTATTTGAAATTTACTTCTGGGGCTAGCAGAACTAAAATATTATAGTATCTAAGTATCTGCTTCTAGATTTTTTGTTTGTTTGTTTTGGGGCCACACAGTGGTGCTCATGAGTTACTCCTGGCTCTGCATTTAGGAATTAATCATGGAGGAGCGCCATAGGGAGACCATTTGGGAGATCAAGCCCACCTGGGTTGGTTATGTGCAAAGGAAGCGCCCCACCCAATGTACTATCCCTCTGTGTACTCCAAGATTTGAATTTAAGTCATTCAGATTCTT